TTTTTTTTTTGTCTGAGCAGTGTGTGAGTCCTGTATTGAATCCATTCCAAGTTGTTCACATGGAGAAATTTTGGCTGTGGATCTAAACACAACCAACAGCTGCTGTCCACAGTACTACTGCAGTAAGTGTGTGAGTGTGTTTGCATACGTGGGGGGGGGTTGTGTCGGCCGTGTCTTCAAAGTCATGCTTTTACTTTATCCCATGCAGTGTGCGATGTCAACCTGTGCCCTGATTCATCTGTGACCTGTGCACCTGGTCTGTCTTTAGTCCAAACCACTGTCCCTGGGCATTGCTGCCTGCAGCACCACTGCGGTACACACTCAAAAACACTCACATACATACGTGCACAACCTATTCACTTCTGGTGGGTGTTACGGCCGCTATGCCTGTCACGTGTTAGCATCACGCCGTACCTCTCACTCGCTATCTCGTGTCGCTCCCAGAATGCCAATGCGAGGACAGCTCTTCCCCAATCTGTCAGGTGGTAAGTCGGCAAAAAGCTGCCTAACGTGTTGTTGTCTAATGAGGTCTTTGCTTGAAGGAAGAAAAGATAAGAGAGAGCAAAGTCAGCACTCTGTTTGTCTTTCAGGGGGAAGTGCTGGTCGAGGTTCCAGTCAGTAGCACCAACTGCGGCTGTCTTCAGCATTCATGCCGTACGTGTAGCGCAAGAGCACGCACAAAGACACACTTGATACTAGTGTGAAGATTGATATGCTGCATCATGTACCGTTGCTCAACACACAGGCTTCCTTTATCTTTAGCGATAAAAAAAGGTTTATTTCTCAATTATGGTATGGTATGATTATTCATGCTTTGTTTTTGTGTGCGTGTATAGTGAAAGCAGAGGTGTGTCTTTTCCAAGGGGTAACAGTACTGGGCCCAGGCCAGTCTCTGGTTCAGTACTTTGAAGGAGATATGTGTTACGCTGTTCACTGCCTGCACCACAAAGATCCAGATTCTGGCTTCTTCGCCATGGAAATTATCTCCGTCAACTGCTCCCAGAAATGTGGGCCTGTAAATTTCCACAGATTTGGCACATGCCTGGTTTACTTGTCTTGCTCTCGGCATCCTGTGCTAATCCCTCGCATGTGGCTCACCTTTTTAAGCACCAGGTGTACGTAACGTCAACGAACCCTCAGGTCTGCTGCGGCGCCTGTAAAAATGTCTCCTGTACTTTCAACAATGAAAACGGGACAGCATAGCTTTTTGCCGTAAGAACTCCAAAGAAATCCACACGTGCTCAACGCTCCTCTTTTTGAGAACTCCTGATCGTGATTGTGTTTGCAGGCAGGTAGCTCCTGGGTGGTGTAGGATATTAGAAACAAATTGAAGATCCGGTTCATAAAATTAATAAAAATGCATATAGTGTACACCAGAATACAGCCATGATTCTGAAACTGTGTAATCCATAAAGTAATGACAATATTGTAAAACCACTGTAAATCTGCAACATTAATAGAATAATATCGATGCAGTTATGATTGTATTTGATGTAATGTAATCAACTGGAATGCATGCATGTAATACTTGAACAACCACTGATATTGACTGAGGGTCATTCGAAATCCCGAGTTACAGTGAACTCACCAGAAGACTCCCAGAGGTGTGGACACTGACTTTCACACCTTAAAGCATTGGTATAAATACCTGTAGGAACCATTGTTCTGGAGTTCACTGGTGGAGGCGACAGACGGGCACTAGGGATGGTCAAAGGACTGACCTGGGGCCTGTTGGTCGCTGAGACCAGCGGCTCCTCAGCTGAGATGTTCTTTTTACCACAACGCCATCTCTTTTATTAAATACATTTGATTTAACCTTTTGATCAGCGATGACCTCTGTCCGTCCGGCGTTTCTTCATTTTTGAACACAACAGTGGAGAACTGCACACGTTACGACTGCATGGAAACAGCAGTGGAGCAGTAATACTGGCCTCTGGGGTGATTTGTCCACCTTTCAATGAAACCGAGTGTATTCAGGTCAGGACCTCTATGTGTAATATAAATTAATCTAAAATTAAAATCTTGAAGCTCTTGTAAAAATCTTGTTCTTTCAGTTTCAGGTCGATCCCCTCTAAGGCACAATTATAGTGTTTTAAATGGATGTATAATAGAAATTCAACACCATGTTGAAAATGAACATCTGTCTATTATGACTGGAGGCTAATTGATCAGTGCACCTGTATTGTATATCAAAATGTTCATTTTTTCCTCATTAACTCTGGTAAATGTCTGACTCTCTGCAGAATGGCGGTGTGGTTCAGAGCTATGTGGATGGTTGCTGCAGGACATGTGAGTATCAAAATGCATTTAATGCTTCTGGTAATGCTTTGAGCTGTCCAAGTGGTGAGCGCCTTGTTGCCTGGCAGTGGTTGGGCTTGTTGGCTGAGTGGTTGGGGGTGGCCTGTTGTAGATGGTGGAGATAAAGCCATGTTTTGGCCTTTCACTACATTTTCCACAATCCCTCGCTTTTCCTAATTTGTCCCCAAATCTTCTGTTGACATATAAGAGCTACCACGGCTTACATAAGCATCATTTAGTGGAAATTATTAATGCTTTAAATAGAATGATGAAATATGACAACATTTAATGCGATTGCTAGGACAACATACAGCTTTATGAACTCTGTGTTTTTAAGATGATGTTGTGTGAGCCGTTCTATGTGTCTACTTTACAAGATACTTTTCTAAATTGTGTGGATTAAAGCTTCAATAAACGTGCAGTGATAACATCTTTCTCTCCTCTGTGGATTCGGCACTGCAGCCTCGCCCGCTTGCCTCCTTTTCCAGCGACTTTGCAGTCTGGCCAATCAATGTGCTCCACGGTGAGCGTGTTACCGATGCGGATGCGTGATGGTGCAGGTTTTAGAGTTTGTCCCGCCGAGCTTCTCTTTGTATTTCATCAAATGACTTCAGTTCCTTGGCTGGCCGCCCGCAGCGGCCCCGAAAAAGAAGTGAAAGCCATGTGCATGCCAGCTGCACGACTCCCTCCTGTGTGTGTCTGTGTGTTTCGCTGCTCTGTGTTTATTGAACCCAACGTAACCTTGTGTGTGTTCTCATGGCGTTCTTTGAACCCGGCGGCCGCGACCCTGACGATGCTCCCAGGTTCTGGACTGGGTGTTTTACCGTTTACCGTTAATCCCGTAACCACCACTGGAAGTACTAACTGTGACACAGGTACCAGCACTTTGCACTGTCCCACTTACCATGAACATTTGGCATCCTGTCACTCAGTGACTCGTTCACTTGCAAGCTTTGTGTGAATGTGTCTTCTCTTTTCACTTTCTTACTCTCACTGGGTAACTCAAAAAACACACATGCTGCACGATTACACCATGTTGATTATCAAGACAATTCTCTCACGATCACGATTATAAAACACAATTATTCATTGGTTTTAGAGGCAAACCAATGAAAATGAATAATAAACAGTATCTTTCACATTAGACCAAAGAGTGTGCTGCTTTCACCTCCATGTTGTGCTTTATTTTGGCAAATATTTCACTGAAATCAGTGTGTTTTTTGTTTTGCCCATCTGAACTATGTTTTATAATAGAACAGAGAACAGACTAGTAAAACATGTAATACACTGTATATTGTTTTTTGACAATGAAATCACTGTTACTGCTACTGAAGTTTTGAAATAAAATAAGCTCCAGTGTTTCATCCATTTAGAAAAAGCTTTGCTCTTTCCCTACATTTCACCCGTATACATAATCCATTTGACCAGCTTTGATTGGCTTAGAAGTGAGGTTAAGTTTAGGTCGGTAGCCATTAAAAGACACCAATCTCGGCTGTGAGAAGTGTGTCGCTTCCGTCACCCGGCTGTCAATCAAAGCAAGCTCCTACTGCTGGGCAACAAAAACACCTGCTCAACAGGCCTCTGGGATTTGTGTGAGTGCCAGATCTCTGCAGTAAAAGAGAGAGAGAGAGTGTTTGTGTTGTTTTTGTGTGTATGAACTTCCTTTCTGTCTTTAATGTCAATTACCGTTATTTCTGGATGCTTCTCTGTGTATGCATCTTAAATCTGTGTGAACATGTGTGTAGGTAAGGAGGACGGTAAGACTTGCAAACGTGTGGCAATTCGAACCACCATTAGAAAAGATGACTGCAGGAGCAACGCACCGGTGAGGGAAGGCGTGCTAACTAAATTATCATTATTACATAATAAAGTTTTTTTTTAAAAGCTAACCCATGTCTCGCTCGTCTTACAGGTGACAGTCTATTCTTGCGATGGGAAATGCCCGTCTGCCACCATATTCAACTTTAATATCAACAGTCACGCCCGGTTCTGTAAGTGCTGCCGCGAGAGTGAACTGCAGACCCGCTCTGTCACGCTCTTCTGCTCTCGCAATGCCACAGTCGTGGAGTACAACTTTCAAGAGCCTTTGGACTGTTCCTGCCAGTAGAACTCAAAATAGAGTCCGGAGAGAAAAATGAATGAGCGCATAACACATGAAGAGACTGCATGAATAGAGGGGTGAATTCCATTTTTACCGTACTGACGGTTTCATTTTATTTTGATTCTGAATATAAGCTTGAGATAGTTTTCAAGGAAGTAGTTTTGTCTGCACTTTAGTCTTTCATTTCTGCAATAGCTGCTGTTCCAATGCAGTCTTCTATCTAGGGCTTTCAGGTGGCGGTACGAAGCCCTAAGCCTATTATCCTAATGTGTATTAACAATTGCTATAATAATGACACAGAAGTTGTTGCATTCATGACTGCTGTTTGGTTCAAATACTGTACATGCTTCAAATTTAGCCTTTGAACAGATAAGTGCGGTGTGAAGCTTTTTTCCTTGGAAAGGTTTAATGTGACCATGGGGCTTTTACAGTTGCTGTATTTTAAAGTAGGGGAATAAAAAGATTTAACAGTGTCTTAGTCTGAATTATTGCTGAAGACCGGCTGACCTCATGACCCACAACGTGTCCTTTACAAACACAGTCCCGAGGTTCAAATAATCGGTACGCTCTCACGCCGATGCAGCATTTGTAGTGCTGACATGTGTTTGTGTGTGTCCTCTCGGAGTTTATTGCTTTGTGGGAGTCACCGCTTCATAACAGAACGCCTCAGTCCCGTCTGTCCATCATTTCTCCCTTTCACATTCCTGCCATTCCACATGGGCCATTGCTCCTACCGCACCCCACATCCAAGCCAAGCCATTCTCACCACTGCGCTTCGTTATGAGCAGATTTCAGATAGCTCTGAATATACAATCCACAAGGTTTCAACTGTTACAGTTAACATTTTTTCACTCCAAATAGTTTGGGACTTTCCACAGCTGATGTTCTGTGACGCATGTGCTGTATGTACGAATCTACCAGTGGCTGAAACCACAGCTAGGACCTGCAGTGATCTTTGGCATCCCGGTGGATCAGTGACCGCTCGGTGAGTTGGAGGGACATTTGCAATGGGTGGAACAGAGCGTCTGTGGCTACTTGCTAGTTTGTGTCAGGTAAGAGAATATCTGTAACGCTTATGGAACTTCACAGGTGTATTGTAACTGTTTTTCAAGTTGCAAAATTGTGTGTAGTAATCAGAGTCTCTCAACACTCCCTCTAATGTATTTGTGTAATTTAGTTGCTTACCAATGGCACTGGTTAGATCACTTTAATGTCCGTGCTCTGCACTGCGCTCGTATGGTGTTGGCCAACGACGTTTTCTTTACTGAAGGGTAAGATTGTTGGCTCTGTTATTAACACTGTTATTGGTGTCAGCATGGATCTAAACCCTCTTGGTTAACCACCGTGCCATGTTACTTTCCATATTCTCAGGTTGTCTCGCTGACATGTGAGCAGAATTTAAAGCCTGTTGAGGTTGAAGTTCTATTTCAGACCTTCCCGTCAACAAAATATTCTGATGCCTACACAGTCACCTGAAGGTCTGCAACTAACCAGCTGGTAAGAACAATGGCATGCCGACTCTGGTCTAGTTTCATTGGAGTTTATTTGTTTTTCTATCTAAATGAATGGTCACATTCTCTGCAGGTGCACGTGGGGCCCATCGATCGCTCAGCATGCTCCGTGCACGAGTGCAAAATGCCGTTACGATTGGTTGAAAACCCAACGGGATATAACATCTCACTGACTGCCAGCATAAATGATACTACACTTGAGAAAAAGTATTTTCTCTTCAGTAAGTGTGTGTGAACTCTGAATACCAATTTCCTAATGTAGAAAAAAAAGATGCTCGATTAGAATTTGATGTAATGGCTTCTAATCTCATCTTTACCCTTTCCCTTTTTTTATATGTGTGCAGTTCCAGTCTCTGTGTCCTCACTTAATGTACACAGCACGGCTACTACTGCTCTCCTGGTGTGGAAACTTCACAAAGAACAAACCCTGTCCTCCTTGAGTCTATACGACACTCACACGCAATCTGTCTCCCACATCTTCAACCTGAACGCATCTGAGTCTCAGTACACGGTGAAAGGTCTCCAGCCCGGCACGCGCTTCAAGGCCAAAGTGTTGGTCACTACATTCCTGAAACACCTTGATGTGACCTTGAAGCAGAGACTCAGCGTTGCTTTTGAAACAGGTATTTTATGTGCTTAACCACAGTATATTCATCATACGGCCTCAATTTGATCATCTGCCTTAAAAAACGACTGTTGATGATAACCACCGTCTCCAGCTCAGTGCCCCACTGGCTGGTTGGCCAGAGGGAGAAGCTGCTACTCCGTGAGGAGGACGGGTTTGACCTGGACTGACGCCCGGCACGGCTGTAGAGGCTTGGCAGCTGAAAGTCACCTGGTTGATCTGAAGGCCGTGGAAGATCTGCATTTCATATCTTCTCATTTGCTGAAAACGAACCTGCTGCTGCTGTGGACCAGACTTAATGACCAGCAGGTACCTTTTAATAAATACAGTTAATTTTAAGGAGTGATACAATAGGATGCTTTTCTTTCTCCTCAAACCATTTACATTTGCATTGCAGAATTGTCGATGTTTCTCACAATGGGTCACATTTGTGAATCTTCATAAATAATGCAGCATTTTGTAATTTACAGATTATTCCTCAAAACCAATGAAATAATTATTTATAAGGTCACTGATTGAGAAGGCATGACTGTTTTGAGCCTAAAGGGCTGTGAATGGCTGTTTTATTGATTAACATGTTTTTCAATAATCATATGCAACTAGTTAAAACATATTCTAAGGAGAATAATGAGGAATGAATTTCTTTTTTCTTTGTTACCCCACAGGAGGAGGGGCACCCACTCTGGTCTGATGGCTCAGCCTATAACTTGACAAGCTCTGTGATGTCATTACTGCCAGACAATCAGACGGACTGTTTTGCCCTTCAGAAGGATGCCACAGGCCCAGGATACTTTCTCACTCCGTTCTTCTGTCGTATCCCTTTGCCCTTCGTCTGCCACTTCCAGAGTAAATAACTTCATTTTCCTTTGTAACACACGGCCTTTACTGTGCATCCATTATTTAACACAATTTGTAGATCATTCATGCATGCTCTCCAAAATAAACCTTTATTTTCACATGTCCTAACTCATTACCCATCTTATTATTAAATCTCAGAGTAGAGCTTTTAAGTAGCCCATACCATATTAATTGCGACCATTTTCTTCCCTACTTCGTTTCCCAATGTTTGTCTTGCTCTTTCACAGCTCCTCCTGTGCCTGAAACATTCTCCTTCGCAACACATGCTGCTTCGTTGGAGTGAACTCTCACCCTTGAACTCTCTCATCTTTCTTCTTTTGAGATATTCCTCCAGTACCAAGAGGAGGCAGATGGACAGTCGGGTCAAGACGAAGGACATAGAATCAGGAAGTCAGAGGACAAAAGCAGACACAGAGCTTGAGTGGTATCAGAAAAATTGTCCGGGTACCCATATTCATCTCGTCCAGAGAGGTCACAGTGACAGGCGTGTCTCCGGGGAGCGTCTACTCCTTCACCCTACTAGCTTCTCTTCCATCCGGTTCCACCTGTAACTTGAGACAAACCCTAACTGCGTACACTAGTGAGTCTGCTGACAGCCGCAAGGTCCTCAGGCAACGTCATATCAGAAATCAGGAAACATTTATTTGCCAAAATATGTCAAACATACAAGGAATTTGTCTTGGCGGTTAGTGCGCGACAGTAGACAGATGGTAACAGATGTAACTTTAAAGGTCTTTTTTGCTTTCTTACAGGACCTCTCCCCCCTCAAAATATCACTTTCGGCCCCAGTACGGCCAGTCAGATCAGTGTCCACTGGATGCTGACAGGTGGACACTTGAGGGTTGGACGGACCTTTGTGGTGCGCTGTGTGAACATGTCTTCAGGACAAGTGAGACTAGTTGGAATGACCAATATCTCCAGGTTATCCGACACTCGTGGGCTGCAGGCATACGCCGCTGTGATCAGACGGCTGGAGTCTCACAGGAAATACGGGGTTGAAGTTCACACCGTCACCCAGCATGGCATAGAGAGTCACAGCATGTTTCCACAGAAGATAACAGTGCTGCCTCTGTTCTACTGCAGGGGAGTAAGCTATGACGGGCCACAGCCAGCCAACAACATCACAACATCAGGGCCTTAAAACTGACAATTAAACAGACACATTTTTATTATTTACACCAGTGTCTTATTTACTCATACGGTACATCCAAGATGCAACTGTGCCTCATCAAAAGGTGACAAAAGTGAAGTGGCATCCTTTAGAGATAAATACTGGAAATGTATAGTGATTGTAACTAGAAAATGCATTTCCTGCCGAAAATGCGTTGGAATGCAAAAAACTGAAAGCTGAAATTAACTTTTTAAAATAGCTGAAATTACTGAAAGTTGAAGGGAATTTGAATACATTTGCTGAAATAAAAGATATTAGAAAAGCTGAGATGAATTTGAAATTGCTGAAAATACAGAAATGGGAGAAGCTGAAAGGAATTTCTATAGATTTGCTGAAAAAGCAGAAATGAAAACAGCTGAAATAAATTTGAAATATTGCAAAAAATACAGAAATGAATATTAAAACATTTCTGTTTATAGAGGCATAAGAAAAGCTGAAATTATTTTAAAAAATTGCTGAAAGTACAGGAAGTGGGGAAGCTGAATTCCATCAGATTTTCTAAAAAATACAGAAGTTGCAGGAGCTTAATTGAATTTTAAAAAGTACAGAAATAACAAAAGCTGAGATGAATAAAAGAGGTTTAAAATTGGTTGTAGTAATATTAGTAGTAGTATTAGTTATAGTTGTAATTGTGGTATTAGTAGTACTAGCAGTAGCAGTCGGTTTATTATCAATAGCAGTAGAAACAGCTGTAATACTAACACTATTAGCCATAGTAGTATTTGTAATAACATTAGTAGTAGTTGTAGTATTAATAGCAGTAGAAATACTAGTAGTATGGTAGTAGAAGTATCAGTTGTAGTACTAGAAGTACTAGTAATATTCGTAGTGGTTGTAGTAGTATTTGAAAGAGCAATACGTATTTCAACGAAACCGCTTCATTCTGAGCTTCATGGTTAAGGTACAGATAATGATTGAGGCTTTAATTTTGTAATGATGGAATTGGGTGAGGGGGGGGGTTGGGAGACAGAATGTTTGTTATTCGAACTAAGAAGTTTTTAATTAATAGGCCTCATCACAAACATTACAGTAAAAATTCCCTCCATGGGGCTTTTATTTTGAAATTATTGGATTGGGTGGGGTGGGGGGGTGTAGATAGAGGGAGGGAGGGTGAGAGGGTGAGGAATTGAGGGGTGGTGAGGAAGAGAGAGAGGGAGAGAGAGAGAGGAGGAGAAATAGACAGACATACTGACTGAGTGATTAACAGTGAGAAGAGGTCAGGGTGGAGGGGGGAGGGGGGGCGAGTGTCTTTATCATATTGGTCTGTTGACAGAAAGCATAGCTGCGTCATGTGACTCCACTAATCAGGTCACAAGGAGCAGCTGTGAGCCACAGACAGAGATCCTGCAGCGTGTGAGTGCTCGTAACCACGACAACGACGCACCTGTGCTCATTAACGAGCTGCTGCAAAAGGCAGAGACATGGCAGCAAGTTACACAGAATCCACACCTCAAACAAATGAGAACCAGCGCAAAACTATAACAGCTATCTAAAAAATACGGCGTTTGTTCGAGACCCAAGACTCTACCGAACGCGTGGATGTGTTATTTATGTCTGTCCGGTAATAAATACGGCTCCTATGGCCGTTGACAGAACGTGTACCTTGTGGATTTTTGTGAGAAATATGTCAGCAGATTTGTATTGGAGCCTATGGGGCTTTTGGCAGAGGTTGTGTCACTCTAACACTCCTT